TTATAATTTATTATTACATGGGGAAATGGAGAGTAATCGTGAGTATTTGTTTTGGCGACATCATTATTTAATAACAAAATATACGGCGATTCCCAGTATGAATTATTTTAATTAAAATATTTAAGTTGTTTTAATTAAAGCAGTTTTTTTTTTCGCCAAAAGGTTTAGTTAGAGCAGTTGAGTTATTGTAACATGAGAGTCTGAAAAAAAGAGCACACAGTAAAATGTTCTTTTTATTTAATAACGAATTTTTTTTTACAGATCTATTATATAAATTATTTTAACTAATTTATCAGAACTTAAAAAATGACCCTTATTTGTTTCAAATTTAATTTTTTAATAAAATTTACTCATTAAATGAGCATACAAGAACAAAATTGATAAGTAATTATTAATTACCCTTAAGTGATTTATATTTTAAATCAAGTGATTCTTTTAAATAAATACTATCTTCACCTACTCCTCTGATCTTTAATATAGGACTCAATTGTTAAGTTAGTTTTAGTTCTAAATATAAAATCTATTTTTCATATTTATCAATTTTTTCTAAATTACTCATATAGATAGTCCTTCAACCATAATCAAATTAAAAAAAAAGATAAAGTATTAAGAAAGATGATTATAGTATTTTAAGAAAAATGTGTCACATTTCTTATAATTAACTAACTTACCTAATTTCCTTGATCTAATTAAATTAGTTAAATGGGTTTTATATTAAGGACCGGAAAAATATTATTTTCCAGAAAAAAAGAATTAGGGAAACTAATATGGTATTGCTTATAATTTTACAAATTTTTTAATTAGATTCTTGCTTCTTCTTCTTCGTTTTTTTTTTTTTTTGATCCAACGGCATCAGCCCCTCCCTTACACACAACGTCACTTGAGTTGAGAGAGCGCGGCGCTGAACAAGGGCAAGCACACGTCTTTCCTCACCCCTGTAACAGTTCCTCCTTGAAAGCGAATACTATTGTCTCTCTCAGCTGTAATAGCACCCTCCTCCTCGTTTTTGCAAAGCTTACCTCTCATGCCATGATCGATCTCTTTGCAACTTCTATGGCTCCTTCTTCTTCTACTCTGGGTATGAATTAGAGAGTGTAAGGGAGCGATCCTATTGTGAGAGAGAGAGAGAGAGAGGTGAAGAGAAAATGGAGGGAAGGGATGGAGTCTCAGTACTGAAGAGCTCTTCACTTGCTTTGGTAAAATTAAATCTGAGAGAGGCCAAGTAGTATTGCCATCGATTTTTGAGGCCAAATGAAAGGTACAAGTGATTTTTCGATTCCGATAAGGGAAGCACCTTGACTATCTGCACCACAACCACAAGCAGGTTACTAGCAAAGAAAATAAATCATACTTCCTTTTATACTTAATATAAAATTTATTTAACTAATTTGATTAGATTGAAAAAGTTAGTTAATTACAAAAAAAATTGACATATTTTTCTTAAAATACTATAATCATCTTTTTTAATATTATCTTCCTCTTCTACTTGATTATGGTTTATGGAGTATCTATAGGGATAATTTAGAAAAAATTGATAAATATAAAAAATGAGTTTTATATTTATGACCAAAACTAACTCAAAATTAGATTTATATTAAGTACTAGAAAAGTATTATATTTTAGTTGTTCCTTATAGATGCAGCACTGGCTTCAGTCATAAAACTGCAAAGAGGAAATTTTAGGAAAGAGACGACAGCTTATGTCTCAAGGCATTCGTGCCTACTAGCTTGCCACTTTCAGAGATTCGTTCACTGATGAACAAAGAATGTACGATAATTTTGATAATCTGGGATTGCAGGTGTGTGAATGAAGTTAGGACAGAGATATGGTGAGTTCATTTTACTCTTCTCTTGTCACTTGTTTAAATAATTTTAAAAAGTTGGGATAGTATAGGGGAAAATGAGGAGGGAGATTTTGGGCGGTGTTCACTTGATTATGGGTGGTGTAGGATTTTGGAACTCCTCCTGGATGCACCCTAACCTTTTAGACCATTGTGATGAATTTCTGGGTTTTTGGTTAGCAATGCACTACAGGCTTCTTACCAATCAAGTTAGGCTCAAGAGGAAGATGGCGTCTGATGATTTCGCTGTCAACTTTGTGGAAAAGCTTCGGAAGATATAAATTCTTAGATACTGCACTTTAGCCTCCTCATGTTGGAATCTCCCGGCAGCAACAATTTTTGACACAACCGTTTGATATATAGATGGCTCAGTTAAAGAAAATTTCTGGCTTAACGATCAGAACAGACACTGGTGCATCGTGTTTGGTCTCCTTTGTTGGCAGCTCTGGCCTCTGGGACGCTAGAAATCGTTTCCACTTCTCTCAGGAAGACACTAATCCCACCGGATTGGTCAACAGGGTTTTAGCCTTGAGTGATTCTGCGATTAGGGCCCAGGATCATCACGAACAAATGGGTCATAAAATACTAGTTATCAATAAAATTACATTTTCACTATAAAAAGATAAAGGTGGTTGCTGAGCCTGCTTTAGTAACGCTGGAGGCATAATCATAGATTAAAGCTTAAACCCTATTGAAGCACCATATCATCATGAGCCAGCAGTTTTTCTTTCTACTTTTAGTAAATGAAATGGAGAAATTCTTGGACATGTTATTCTAGATGTTGACACAGTTACTCGATCACGTGGATCAACTTCATTTTTGGATCGTAAAATATGATGGACGTGACGTGGATAATGCAGCATATACAGTTACCTTCAGGCTAAGCTATGAGATGTATGTGTTGCTGCAAATTGACATTAGTGTGTTAGAGAGGATAGGTGCAAGAGTATGAATGAAGGACAAACCTGGCTGGAGCATGACGAGACCTGACAGAAGAAGGAGAAGAAGTCATAATGAAACAGCATTCTTGGCTGCCAACTTGCTATGGGACTTGAAAAGCCGGCGAGAATCAAGGTTGAGCGAATCTAAACAAATTCTTAATAAGAATATAAATTTGGACGCTAAATTCAAATAGTAAACTTATAAGAATTTATTTTTATTAATAAATTAGTATTAAAAATATATTTTTAAATAATTAAAATATAAAAATTATAATAATTTCGTTTAAATATATTTTGAATCTAAATAATTAAAATTAAATTCATTAATTTTCATAACTTATCATATTTAATAAATAAATTTTTTTTATAAAATTGACATACAAACTCACTAAGCATACCTAAATCCAAAAACATAGCACAAAGTTTAAAAAGAAGTTAATATGATTTTGTAAACTAAAAAAGTAAAAACAGAAAACTAGCTAGTGAACTCGTAAGTTTGACTGAATTTATTTATAGGGAACAAGAATTTAAGAATAACTTGACACAATTTTATAAGTTAAAAATGTAGAAACATTAAACTCGAGAGTTATCTCGTGAGTTTGACAACAATTGTAGTAACTAATAAAGGAAGGGGAAATGATGGCTACGATGTAGTGTATGAATTAAAACAAAAAAATACTTCCAATTCTTAGGATAAGATCCATATGATTAATTTCAAAAAATTAAGAAAGTTGCTAAATTATCTTAAAGTATTTATAGTTATCATGTAATATATACTATAATCAAATAATTTATAAACTTTTTTAATCTTTTCAAATTAATCAATTTGATCTTATATTAAAAATCGAGGTAGTACTGTTAAAAAGTAAAATATGAAAAGTCAAAAAAATCTGGGGAATTTTAATTTTAATTTTTTTAAAAAATTCAATGTAACTGCGCGAATCAGATTAAATTTAGTAACTTTCCTCTCTCTCTCTCTCTCTATTAAGAGGACACGAATATATGAGCAAAAAAAAAAAGGCATGTGCGAAATAGCCCTAAACGAAGCGACGAGGGATGCCCTCCCTCCCATGAAGGATTTAGAACAGAAGAGGAGGGATTTTAATAATTTTTTTTATTTTGTAAGATAAACATTTTAGAAGGGAAGCAAAATTTTTTTAATCTTTTCTCTTCCCTCCTCTCATAAGCCTCCTTTCTAAAATTGGAAGAACTTGAAAGAAAATGGTAATATTTTGACTTGTGTTAACTAATATGTCTATATTATTTTTTTAGTAATATCACGTTACTCTTTATTACCGAATTGTATGTGATTTGATATATTTATGGATCCAATCATACTTCTCTTCCCTCATATATTAAAGGGAGAATGACAGAAAAAGAAGTTGGAAATTGCAAATCCCAAATCAGGTTTGATAACATAACTTTATTTGATATTGACAAGTCTAGAATTTGCAAATGACAATGAATTTTTGTTGACATTCTTTGTTTGGCATTTACAAATTGCAATTTCTTTTTTTGTCATTGTCCCTATATTAAATATTATTTATAATTATATTTTATTAATTATTCTATAAAGTTTGTAAAAATCAACTTAAATAATATAGGGGTAAAGTTGTCCATACAAAATATTTTGCCTCTCTCTTTTCTTAAACTAAACAAGTAATATTAAAATCTCTTCCATTTCTTTCATCTCATTTATCTCCATTAAAATTCCTTCATTCCTATCTTTTTTATTGAGCCAAACACACCCTTAATAAATCATTTCAATTTACAAGTGAGGGGTGAACAAAAAGGGATACTGAGAGAAAGATGCAGTTTCTGGTATTAATAAAAAAGAAGAGAGAGAAAAAGATGCAGTTTTGCGTAAGATTTTTTTATTTTTTAATTTCAAGAAGTGCCATTTTATTTCTTCAGTCTTAATGTTGTTAACCAAAAACAAATGCTAACATTAAGATTTTAATATTGACAAAATACTTTTGATTATTAATATAATAAATCTAAATTCAAAAAATAACAATAATTTGAATAAAAAAAATGATCACGGTTTAAAAACTAAAAAAATATTTTATAAAATTGAGCAACCAAGATTAAGGACCCACTGAAACTCAATTTAAAATTAGAGGACTAAAGTTATATTTTTATTGATTCTTTCATTGTATCGTTTGTGGTGCGACCACTGCTACTGGTCCGGTAGATACTGCATCAAAAAGGTCCAGGACACATTTGAAGATAAAAAACCCTCAACCGAAACACCAACGAAGTTTCTCAATTTCTTTGCAGGGTGCTGCAATCCGAAGATTTGCGCGGTTATGGCGGCAAATGCGCCATCCAGCCATCTATTGCACATTCTTCGTTCTCAACCATCTTCTCTGTCTTCGATATCGCCATCTTCACCTTCTTATGTTTCTTTTCTGAAACCTCTTCTGCTCTTATCCTCCTCTACTGCTCCCACTGCTGTACCTAAACTCGTTGGACGGATCCAAATTCCACATCGTCGGAAATCCCTTTTTGCCTCTCCCACTCACCTCTCTAATCCTCTCTTCTCTCACTCTTTCTCTGCACATGTGATTTCTGCTCCTCAGAGACATTGCGATGCTGTGGGAGCTGGAGATTTGGCGGACATTGCTGAGGACGATGAAACAATTGAACCGTACACTGAAGAGAGCGGGATTGAAAACGAAGATGAGCATATCGAGATGAGTAGGGGTTCAGATTTGTCGCCATTAGAGAGAAACAGGGAGGAGAGGTTGAAGTTGCCCAGTCTCACTGTGAAGGAAAGGAAAGAGCTCGCCTCTTACGCTCATAGCTTGGGGAGAAAGCTGAAAAGCCAGTTGGTGGGCAAGTCTGGTGTTACACCTAATGTTGCGACCTCTTTCATTGAGACCCTTGAAGCTAACGAGCTTCTCAAGGTATTAATTCCCTGAAATTTAGTTTATAATTGATGCTATGCCTCTAGAGATTGCTTTTTGGTTCTGAGTTTTGTATGTTAGCATTAGTTATGGAAATTATTGTCTGTTTATTTGTACGCCGGGATTTTGAATCATATTTCATTTGACGAGTAAGGAGAGAATGGATAATAAAGGGAAATTAATGTTCATTTCCTATTTTCCTCCTTGTCGAGCTTATACTGGGGATTCTGTTCGGCATAGTCTGTCAAGTATTCATGAGGTCTGCGATTCCCTTTAAGCTAGGTTTCAAGTTCATCTGTAGTTTGCTTCTGTCGGACTGTCTTTTTCTTCCTCGCCCCTTTTTGTGTATTGCTTGTCTAATTGGTTTGCTTTTGAAAGTAGTTTTCTAATCTATAATATGTTAATAGTATCATATCAATCTGGTGTGCATGCTTTTATGTTGTGAATTAGCTTGTTGGTAGATATGTTGCTGAGCGTGTCTTTGCTTGAAATTATTACACAGTCGGACCTTGGACGAGTTAGATTTTTACCATTTGAGTTGAGGTTTCGGGATATCAGTGTATGTATGAAACAATTGCAGGTTTTTGTTCACGTAGTTCAGTGACTGAATGGTAAGGGATATCCAAAAATAAGGTACCTGCGGACGGGAAAGAGTAATTTGAAGCACAAATATCCAATTTACTGTTTTTCTTCATGTTGCGTTTCCTCTCTGCTTTCCCTAGCTCAATGATTCTTGGATGACGTTAAAAAAAAAAAGGATTCTTTTGATCTGTACTTGCATTTGAATGGCACGTATGCAGATTAAAATACACCGGACTTGTCCAGGAGAGCTAGATGAGGTCGTGAAGCAGCTGGAAGAAGCAACTGGTTCGGTGACTGTTGGTCAAATTGGTCGGACAGTGATTATATACAGGCCTAGTCTCACCAAATTGAAGGCAGAAGAGAAGAAGAAGCAAGCTCGAAAAGTGTTTCTGAGAAAACAGCTAAAACCAAAACTAGTAAGCAAGGGCTTAGCTTTCATTTTCCTAATTTCGCCTGTCTCTCGCGACACTTCCCTAATTGTCTAATAAATATTGCAGAGTAAGGAGCAAGGGTCAAAGTTTTCGCGGCGGAGATAATTTTGGAAACACTAGCTAACAATTCTTGGTGTACTTATGTTGAGGTTTGCCCTATACGGAGTGAGGCTTTGCATGCATGGCATTTAGAAGCTAAATTCACAAGCATATTTTAAGGCAGATGAATTTCTATGGTTATGTATAGAACTCTTGTAACTTATGAAATCTCGCTGCCGAGGAAGAATATTGCATGTTCTGTACATAGATTATTTTGCTTGAGAAACTGGGAAGCAAACTTGTTTCGGAGGATTTAGATTAAATTTTTGAAAGTAATAATATTGAAGGCAATTTTGAAAGTAACTTTTTGAAATCTCACTGCTGAGGAAGAATATTGCATGTTTTGTACATAGATTATTTTGCTTGAGAAACTAGGAAGCAAACTTGTTTTGGAGGATTTAGGTTAAATTAGTTTTATGATGTACGAGCTAACTATGTAGAAATAGTTCTGTCTCGATTTGTATTGAAAAAAACACCCCTAATCTCAAACTGAAATTAGGTTATGCATGTTGATTATTTTCCAAAAAGAGCTGAAATATCATAGATTGCAAACTTAAGTTGGTTATTGATTGAATTCAATGGCATCATAGGATCTACTTGGTCAATATTTCTTGATGGAAAAAAGTTTATTGTTGCTGCTACAAGCTTAGAAATGTATAGGCTATGTTTGGCGTTATGTTTAAAATTATTTATATACACGATTCATATAAGTTAGAATAAAACTCATTTTATATATTTGCTTTGTATTTTGTAGATATGGTTGACAAATTATTTATAAGAAATTCTAAACAAATCCATGGATGTTGGCTTCATTGTAGATGATCATAACACGACAAAATGTGTGGTGTTTTAGGTGTTATTCCAAGTGTCAGCATCTGAAATCGTGGAAGAAAAACTGACTGCGCATGCCTTTTAAAAGTCGGGCAACGGTCCCATATATGCTCCTATGAATAATTATCCGGTTCGAGTGAAAATGGCTGCCTCGAAAGACCATCATTGCTGGATAGAAATGGTATTCAGAGGAGGGATTTGTTGCCTAATTGCCTAAGGCCAACAATCCTATTTCGCCCGAGACCAATAAAAATAATTATTAGTTTTTATCACAATAAACTACCTTTTTACACGGACATAAATTAGACAAATCGGTTCAAAAACTCATTTCATTTATATTTTTGTTACAAGTACGCTCTAAATCATACAAAATTTTTTTTCACTTTCCAATGCTAAGGAGTTAGGAGGATGTAATAATATCTAATAAAAATTACTGAAAAATCTCATTAAAATGTTTATCCTTTAAAAGTGCCTAAAATTTGTTTGACCATCCAAGTCCTTGCGTGGGTATGACTCATTTTTAATGAACATAACCTTTCAAATGTGTAATACTCCGTTTCTTATAAGAAACATTTGATGCTTATGGCATGTTCCTATATATAAGAGACACTTAAAAATTGTCTCTATTTTTTTATGTTGATTTCTTATTTTACCCATATTTATTGTTTACAACTCACATTCTCTCTCCCTCCCACTTTTCTTTCTTTCAATCATTTAATTATTCTCTTTCATGCCCTTTCTCCTTATTAATGAGGGCATTTTTTGAAAAAAAAAAATTATATTTTTCACACATTAATTGTTCTTAACTAATTTTAACTGCTTTTTTGATCAACATGATTCGGTTATTCGTCTCTTATAATAAAGAACGGAGGGAGTATATCTTTAACTATATGTAAATATTTTCATTTTAAAATTTTTACACATACTTAAAAATATATTGCGCGTAGCGTAAAAGTTACATATATCCTGTATAAAAAGAAAAACAGAAGACAATCATATATAACTAAAAATATATTGTGCATAATTGAAAAAGAATTGCACCCCTTTAAGTAAAGGATTTTCAAGCAGTTTTGGCAATAAATATTTTTATGGAGGAAGCATATAAATGATACCGAATTTTAGGTGTGTAATACCTTCTCCATCGGGCCTGGTTTGTGTGCCTGGATCGCTGAATATAATATCGATCTAAATTTAGAAATAAAATTACAGTCGGAGCACTTGGGCATATAAATTGCTTGCATTACGTCATGCTTCTAAGAATTAATCATGTGAGCCCTGGCATATGATCACAAGCGCATGCCTACCTTTTTGATACTATAAATACAAGAGTGCTTCTATCCCGATTAAGGTGTGTCATGATTATTATAAAACAGAGCTCCCAACCTACGCAGCCTTGAGCTGCTTATACTGCTCAAAATCTTCAGAGAATAACATGCCATTGGGCGAAAGAAGACGCTGGAGGGACATCGAAAAGCGAGCCTATAGACGATAAAATAATTGAACATCAGAATTTTATAAACAATGCTGGTACTTGACGCAAGCTGGAGATCCTAGTCTTACCCATTGAAATATTGCGAGCGAAAACCAGCAGCCTTGCAAGCCATACCTGCTGCTCAGTATCTGGCGTCAAGGGAAATTGAATGTTACGCAAGAAGTGAGAGAGCGATATCACACTGTACAAAGGAGACCAAGAAAGGGGTTGCTACCAATAGGATAAATGCACCGAAGGTGAAGCATCCGCCCATTGATAAACTCATAAATCTCAGATCGCGTCCAGCCTGCATAAATAAACACACCATGAAACTGTTAGACGTAGCCGTATACTGTTCAATCCATGAATAGTAAAGCAAAGCAAGTTGGAGAAATATATCATACGCCAAATAATCACGCATTTGTGTTAAGTTACCGTTCGATAGTGCATAAGAGGATATGGATGACATCATACAAAGAGTACAAAAAGGGGGTACTAAAGTTGAAATAGCAGAGTTCCGTTGATAACGTGTAATGGATGCCTATAAATAGGGGGCGACAACATATTCAGCGGATGGATCGCCCAAATCTGACAACCCTATTTAAGTAAGTTTAGGGGAGCTTATTGGTAATTCTAAGCAATTAGACTTGACGAGGCCTGTTTATGTCCTGCCCTCGATTATTTTCTTGTATTTCTTTTGGAAAAGTTTAGGGGTTAAATGAACATACCAGCAATGTTCCTTCAAGGCTAAGAGTGGAGGGTGTTACAGCAAGCGCTAAGAAGTATGGAATCAGCACCTTGTGCATCTGCATGGTCACAGTTCACAAATACAATAGTTAACTACTATTTTTGTTTATATAATATATCCGCTCTCAAAATCATTTATTTTTTTAACGCAAATCATGATTGACACCACATAAGATGACCATCTAAAGTATGAAGCGCAAGCACTAACCTCCTGGATAACCATCTGATCGGGTGTAAAAATTTTGGGGAATAACCAAGGAATTGATGTCCCAACAATTCCTAACAGCAATCCGAGTATAGCTCCAATTATTACTAGAGACCTTAGAAGTACTCTAGCCTGTTGACATTATGAAAATTCAGGATTTTTTTTTTTCAACAGTATGCATGCAGAAATTCAGCAGCAGTGACAGCCACAGGTGAAGAAAATCCCTTCTAATCTAACCTTTGCCAAACTCCGCTTAGCGCCATAAATCAATTCCGGCATAAATGATTGGGCAGTTTGAGAGAGAGGTTCACCCCATACTGTACATGTGGTGTAGGTTTGAACCATGACCTAACATTAGAGTCAAGTCATGTCAGGGCCCTTGAATTTCAGATACCGACAGCAAGCAAATCAAGGAATACAGTGCAAAAAAATTAGAGAGGCGTAAAACTAACTTGATGAGCAGCCATTGTATGTGTGCCCATTGATGTGGCAAAATATATAAGTAGTGAGTAGAAAGCCACCTATATATTACAAGTCTCAGTAACATTTTTGGGGGGGGGGGGGAGTCAAAAGAGATTCGGATTTAAGCAACATAATTAAGTTCAATACTCGATGCAACCTTTGATATCAGTGTAACAAATACAGGGGTAGCAAGCCCAACTATCGAAAAAAGCTCTTGGGCTGAGGGGATGGAGAGGGCATATGCATTATATCCCTTCTCTTTTAGACTCTGAAGCATCATGTACCCAGCAACCACCTAAAAACAGGAAGGCAAGAGGTAAAGGATCGGATATATGACAGTTAACGGATAATAATTCACATGAACGCATGGGCACATAAACTGAGAACATTTGGAGCAGCATATGATAGTTAATGCATTATATGTGAATTTTTAACATACTTGTGATGCCATTGTAGCCCACGCGGCCCCTGCAATACCATAGCCCAGAAAAATACATAATACTACGTCACCAATGCCATTTACAGCACTAGCGGCGGCCAAAGCCTTCAAGGGTCCCCAGGAATCCTTCATACCAAGACTGTGAGAGAGAACGCTAATATTAGGACAATGGCTTCAATTAATAAGCCTATGTTTAATGAATTACTTATAGAAAGACATCATGTATTACAATAAACTCTGCTAAGGGTAAGTAGAAACTTGAAGATACAGGATAAGGAAATTTGAATGAGAAGCCCGAAAGTATAGTCATGCATATTGGTCGAACAGTAATACTATCTCAGCACCATCTGAACAAGGAAAAATGGGTCACAACAGGTTCTGAGCAAATACAAAGAGAAGCTCTATCATCCCATTGAACAGCTCACAAGGATTAATATGAACAATTATATGTAAATGAAATAGAATGTCGAGCAGAATCTCGTAAAGGCTCAAATTAAAAAAAAAAAAAAAGGCACAAAGTAGCAATCTTTCATTTCAGCTAATAAAGCTTGAGAAATAAATAGAGCATATTTTGACCTAGCACTTTGAGCAACCCATCCAACAAGTAATGCAGGCCATGCCAAGCCTCGAATCTGACAGCAAAAGAGACTCCGGTTAAGTCATTTAAGCAAGTTAAACAGAGGAAAACATCACAGCTTTATTTACCAAAAAATCACGACTTCATTATTTAATAGTTAGGAAGCAAAAGGAAAATCTTATTTACGAGTCCTGATAACTTAAGAGGAAATAATGTTGCTATAGTGCCCTCATCTATTCTTATGAGAAAAAGAGATGAAAATTGATGACGGCTTTGATTGCTTTCCTCCATCAAATTTCAACTATTTCATAGTTTGTTTTACTTTGGAAAATATAAATTGTAGTCTTCAATTAAATGAAAAAAAGTAAATGCAATAATTTAAAAAAAAAAAAAAGAAAGAAAGAAAGAAAAACCTGTACGTAAGTGTTTGCTGCAGGAACTACATGCAAATTCTTTGACCCAGTAAAAGCTGAAAAGGGGGCAGACAGAAAATTCATCAGTCATTGGATTGGTTATGCCCCCTTTTCTAAATAAGCAAGATGCTGTCATCCTACGAGGAGCACAAAACAACCAGACTGTGAAAGCATTACACATTCCATATGCATAAAAGTAAGTAAGTAGTAGATTTCAGTACCAGTGAGCATTGATGCACCAAAGAATCTTGTGAACAAAAGCATCACGAAGCCACAAACTAACCCAACTAAAAGCAAGACAGAGATGTGATGCTGTACTTCGTCTCTATCCTACACATATATATATGCTCAAGCAAAGCAGTGTAAGTCCTGGAGACACAAAGTGATAGATATGAACCGCAAAAATATACCAAAAAAATTCAAAATTTACGATGTCCAGAAAACTTGGTCAAGTGATGTACTATTGATTATTAATATAGGAATTAGAGAACTAAATTGAGAATATTAAGAAAATTAGTTAAGTTTGCTATTTGTAACAAATGTGTGCTGATTTCCCTGGACTACCTCTTTAATTATATGCATTGAAAGTAACCTTGGTGAACCTTTCAATCAGCAACAATATTTTAGAGAAAAAAATTATAGATTTGGAAGACAACCAGCCCTCAACTAGCTTTTATATATAGAAAGATAAGGCTGTGGGGCAGGAATACAAGATAGTAAAATTTGAAGATGTCACAGTTGAACTTTGGAAAATAAAAGTCATAATTCTAATGAAACAAGAAACTAACCTGTTTAGCAAGGGCAGTAGCAACCATGTTAGAAGTTGCAATCGAGAGAAACATAAACGCGTAACTCATGTAATCACACACAACTGTAGCAGGGCCTGCTCGTAGGAAATCAAGAGTTCGTATGATGCATCTTCAGCTATCAAAAGGTATATTAAGTGAGTAGATAAATTATATCCCAGAACTCAGTACCTAAGGCAGCTAGCTCAATGGAGCTTCCCTGACCAATAACAGCCGTATCAATGAGACTCATCAGTGGTCCGCATATCCAAAGTGCCGTTGCTGGTCCTGTAAACATGACAATTTCCTTCATCTGACCCCATATACTCTGGTCAGCCAGTTCCTTCTTCTCAACCTCTCCCCCGACTTCAACTTCGCCATCTTGTTCCCGAGAATCCTCCTCCACATAATCCTCATTTGCCACAGAAGTTTCGCGGCTATCATCAATGAGTTCTAGATTCCGATTAACGCAAGTGACTAACCAATCACGATGCGTCCGGGGAGTTCTAAGGAATGGATTTGAAGGAAAAGTAGGAATGCGAAATGCAGGTGGGGATGAATCGAGGTGTTGGTGATTGGAGAACAAGGAGGCTGAAGAGTGAGGAAGTGATGAAGAAGCACAAGGGTTCTTGTAGAGAGTGTTGTGAAGAAAGCGAGTTTGAAGTGCCATCTCTGATTTTGACGGTGATGAAGGAGTGAAGCAGAAGAGTGGTTTCGAACTTCCAAGAAAATGGAAGGAAGAGAAAGGAAGACAAAGCCCCAAAAAGGGGCCGAAAAGCGAGTGGCTTGTAATTCTGCACGCCCAACAATTGGTTTGGATGTTTCCTTATCAGAATTCAGAAAACGATAAATTTAGAAGCAAATGGTTGCTTGGCCGGGTTCCCCCTTAGTGCCCTTTTGCGCTGCCGCCTCTCTCTTTTTTTTTTTTTGGGCTTTAAATATTATTTTAACGAGTGGAATGCATGAGAACCAGAAGGCCTCCCACTTCCCAGGCTAATTATTGTCGGACGGAGCCGACCCTTCGTCTTCGTTTTATCTTCAAAGACTCGCAGCTTTCTCTTTCTCTTGTAGCTGCCTCCCTCCCCCTCTCTGTCTCTCTCAATTAAAAAAAAAAAAAAAAAGAAGCAATTTTATTATGAAGAGGAAGATGAGAAGTTTAAAAAATTGAAAGAGCCCATAGAGAGAAACTCCGAAGAAACAATAAATTATCATCAGGAAGTGGGGGAAAAAAAACACGGTCAAAAAAACTTCAGATATAAGCACCGAGGTATTTGAGCTTGTTTTATTTTTTTTATGAAAAATTATATTTACCCATCTGTATAAAATATTATTCAAAATTTTAAAAATATATTAAATTTGTTGACATTAAAATTATTATTGAAAGTGAAAATTATTGTTGTATTTCTGTACCAGAAAAAAAAGAAATTGTTAATGTATTTTCATACTTGTTAGTTCTTATAACGTTTTAAGAAAACTATCGCTTCAAATTTTTTTTTAAAAAAATAATTTTATGCTTTTCTGAAATTTAATAACATTTTTAACATAAAAAACCTTTTCTTGACAACTGAGTTCTGATTAAGTTCATTTTTGGAAAGACAAAAAAAAACATTTAACAATGATATGCCAATTTGACCATGATCTCAACTTCTGGCCAAAAAACTTGACAATACGTTCCTTTGCAGCTTAAAAAAATTGTGAAAAGCTCTGTTAAGTAACAATAACAAGGAAATTCATGAGGCCTGCAACAAGGTAAAAAAAAAAAAAATCTCTGCCTCCACACAGACGCAGTTGAATAAATAGAACACTTTGTAAAAAATCCCAAATAGTTAATCATTTTAATGGTTGAAATGTCATTGCATAATTACATGACCCACGTAGGTGGGAAAAAGGACACTCCAACCACCCCCCAACCAAAAACACCAAAAGAACAAAAATGAGTGGATATCACACGGCCACGCCAGAGTATGAAAATCTAGGCAGGGTTGCGAGTCTAAAACAAGCGGAATACTGAAGCATTTAAATTGTCTGCACCGCATCCTGCTTTAAAAGAAGAAATATAAAAGGGGAAGAAAGATCAGCTCTGGCTTTTAAAACATATGCATTCTCCTCTCATCTGATACATACACGGAATGCAAGTCCTTTTACTTCCTATCCCTATGGAGGTGTGTCATGAATTATAAATATTAAACTGAACTCTTAAACTATGCAGTCCTCAGCTTTTGCTGCTTGTGCTGCCCAAATTCTTCAGAGTACAACATGCCATTGGAAGAAAGAAGGCGCTGGAGGGCAATTGAAAACCGAGCCTGCAGATCATAAAATAATTTAAAATTATAATGTAATTAAAATACTCCTCCAATTCTTAATGTGAGACCTATTTAACTAATTTGATTACACTAAGAAAATTAACTAAGTTAATTAATTATAAGAAATATGACGTGTTTTTTTTTCCTAAAACACTAATTATTTTCTTTAA